TGGCAAGCCCAGTACGATGGGGTCTAACGTCTCATTTTGGAGTATAATTTCTATTTTTTTTTTAAAGATTTTTATTTATTTATTGAGAGACAGAGAGAATGGTAGAAAGAGAGCATGAGAAGGAGGAAGGTCAGAGGGAGAAGCAGACTCCCCGCTGAGCAGGGAGCCTGATGCGCGACTCGATCCCAGGACTCCAGGATCATGACCTGAGCCGAAGGCAGTCGCTTAACCAACTGAGCCACCCAGGCACCCTGGAGTGTAATTTCTATTATCTTTGAGCTTCAGCTGTGAACTTCCTTTTTTTTTTCCTATTACATTCACATATGTTTTAAAAAGTCTCTAGAATGATATATAGAGGGGCCCCTGGCTGGCTCAGTAGGTAGAGCTTGTGACTCTTGATCTCAGGTTGCGAGTTTGAGCCCCACATTGGGCATAGAGTTTACTTAAAGAAAAACGGGGGCTTCTGGGTGGCTCAGTCAGTTTTTTTTTTAGTTCTTGATTTCGTCTCAGATCATGATCTCGGGGTCCTGGGATCGAGCCGTTTTTTTTTTCATGCTCAGCGGCGAGTCTGCTTCAGGGTTCTTTCCCGCTCTCTCTCTCTCTTTTTTTTTTTCTCTCTCCCTCTCTCCCTCTCTCCCTCTCTCCCTCTCTCCCTCTCTCTCCTTTTTTTTTTCCCCCTCCCTCCCCCCCACCCTGCCCTTTCCCCTGCTCACTGACCCATGCATTTTTTTTTTCTAAAATAAGTAAATCTTAAATAAAAAAGAGAAAAAACAGAATGATATACTTTTTTTTTTTACAATGGCTGCCTGAGAAGAAATGTATTTTTCCTCAAAGAGAAAAAAACGGTTTTTTTTTTCTATTTATTTATTCTATGGTACCTTTTGGAATTTGAGCCATGAGAATGTATTTTTTTTTTTAATTTTTTAATTAGGGAAAAGCTGCTTATTTGTATTACCCTCCTCTTGAATCACTATTCAGTGACTCAGGAACTATTTCTGTAATGTGACTTCCTGAGAAAGATTCTTCCATTTTTTTTTTTTTGTGTTCAGTGAGAGTTCAGAAGCCATTTCTTTCTTCATGACAATATAATTTTTTTTTTTTTTGGGTTCTCTCAGATGTTTCATCTTCACACACTTCAAAAAGTAGTTGGTTTTTAGCAATTTTTCAGATAATTTGGCACTTCTTGGGTTGGGATTATTTTCACTGTGGGGATTTTTTTTTTGAAAGAAAGGCAGGAGCCTGTGAAGGTGCTTGTGGCCTCATTAAGAGTCATTAGGATGAACATCCCTTAAAGAAGAGTTAGTATATATATACAATGGAATATTATGCAACCATCAAAAAATATCTTTCCATTTGCAACGTGGATGGAACTGGAGGGTATTATGCTAAGCGAAATAAGTCAATCAGAGAAAGACAAGTATCATATGATCTCACTGATATGAGGAATTCTTAATCTTTTTTTTTTTACTGAGGGTTGGAGTGGTGGAGGTGGGAGGGATGGGGGGGCTGGGTGATAGACATTGGGGAGGGTATGTGCTATGGTGAGCGCAGTGAATTGTGTAAGACTGTTGAATCACGGACCTGTACCTCTGAAACAAATAATACATTATATGTTAAAAAAAAAAAAAAAGATAGTAGGAAGGGAAAAATGAAGGGGAGGAAATCGGAGGGGGAGACGAACATGAGAGACTATGGACTCTCAAAAACAAACAGGGTTCTAGAGGGGAGGGAGGTGGGGGGAAGGGTTAGCCTGGTGATGGGTATTAAAGAGGACACGTATTGAATGGAGCACTGGGTGTTATATGCAAACAATGAATCATGGAACACTCCATCAAAAACTAGTGATGTAATGTATGGTGACTAATATAACATAATAAAATAAAATTTAAAAAAAAAAAGGATGAACATCCCTGAGCATTTTTATGTTTCAGGAAGAGGTCCCAAGAAGGTCAGCTTTTTCATCTACCAGTTAACAACCGCAGCTTTATTCATACATTCATCACTACCAAGTACCCATTCTGTTCAGAGCAAGCCTGTCAAGCTTTATTTGCCTCCTTAAAGAGGATAGAATAAAGCTGCTTGTTTCATTGACACAGCTTCCCACTGAACCAGTGTCTAACAGTTCCTTGTGTCTAACAGTTCCTTAAAGACATGCAACTCTTGTGCTGGAGTTGGAGTTTGTGTCTAAGAAGGGCCACTATAGGAGAGTCAGAAATGTCACTCTCCAAGTATAGATTTCTGGTTTCCCTATCATCATTCCCCACCCAGAGCATCAGCTGATTACTGTAAGAGAGCACAGTTGCCTGGCTTTCTAAAGTGTATTTAGCAAACAGGATGCTAAACTTTTTATTACTGCAGATCTTATGCTTTCTTATTTGTAGAGAATTTTAAATAAACATTTTTTTAAGTCAAGTAATTAAATAAACATCTCTGCCATTTTTTCTTTCCTTTTTAGCAAGTCTTTCCCCTTGTTTAACCGATGCATCCCTCAAACGCCTGAGTGCTATTCCTTGTTTGCATCTGTTTTGATAAATGATGTCGACATCCTCCATCGAATTCTAAGTGGAATAATGTCAGGAAGAGACATAATCCTCGGCCTGTGTATCTTTGCATTAGGTAATTTTCAGTTAGTTTTCTTACAGTGACTGTGCCAAAGTTTCTAGCACTTACGTACGTTGTACAGTGAAAATTATCCTCTTGACTTAAAGATAAAACTTCACATATTTTCTTCATAAATATTTTCAATATTTTAGGTTCAGGTGGGAGAGGGGGCAGTAGAATTAGGGGAACACCAGCCGGCTCTCTGCCAAGAGACCTCAACTGCGTGTGGGTTTGCCTTAATACAGCGGCCATGTTCCAGAGCCTAGTCCTCAGCTCTGAGTAAGCACAGGTGTGCAAAGCAGATTCACAAATTGGCCAGTTTGCGAATTGGCAATGAAAATTACAACTGTCAGGGGAACCAGAAATGCGTGTCTTCTGGCCAGACTGCCCTCTGTCCATGAGCAAGCCAGGTCAGAAGGTTGCTTGGTGAGCAAGGGAAAGAGGCACGTGCATCATGTTAAATAGCATCAGACAGCAATGGCCTGATGTAGCCAACTGCCTGCTTTGGGTTGTAGGCACGTCGAGGCCTCAAGCCAGGACATGCCTCTTCTGGGCGTTTCTGGAAGCAGCTAACCCCACCCCTGACCCTTTAACTTCCTATTTGCTGTCCTCCAACTTGAAGAACCCCTTTAAGAGTCAACTTTGTCTTTGAACAAATTAACACATTCTGCCATTGTGGGCAGTAGTAATGGCCTGCTGTCTACCCCTTTCTGCAGTGGCTGCTCCCCAACCGTTTGGTTGAAAGAAATTCTTTGGTCAGCCATGATTTTACCAGTTTACAAGTTGAGTGTTCTGTAATTTCATTACCAGAGGGTTACTAATTCCTGAATGCTTGGGGATGCCTAACTCGTCACCTTTATGTAACTTCCCGATTTCTTATGACCCAAATGTGCCAGGCCTTGTGCTTACTCTTAACTCATTCAAACCTCGTCAGAATGCTGTCACCACTTGTACGAGGGGAAACTGAGGCTTAGGTTAAATGACTTGGCCAAAGTCATGTGACTAGACTGGGTGGCAGAGCTGAGACTTAACCCAAGGTGTGTTCTGATCCCCAAACCCACATTCTTAACCACTACACCAAAATATCTATATGTAATCCTGATTTCTTGTTTAGAGAAAAAGTAAAATAGTATCTATAAATTCACTGAAATGCTTAACATAAATTCATAAGCCTAAAAGCCCAAGTACTGGACAATAGTATGCAGATTTTTTACATATACAGCTTACCAAAACATTAGAACCTTAAAATTGTCATTTCTAAAGGCATTAATTGGGGCGCCTGGGTGGCTCAGTCGTTTGAGCGTCTGCCTTCGGCTCAGGTCATGATCCGAGGGTCCTGGGATCAAGCCCCACATCGGGCTCCCTGCTCCTCGGGGAGCCTGCTTCTCCCTCTCCCTCTGCCTGCCTCTCTGCCTATCTGTGCTCTCTATCTCTCTGTCAAATAAATAAATAAATCTTTAAAAAATAAAGGCATTAATTTTTCACATTTAATAAGGATACCTGAGAACATTTAAAGTTAAAACTATACATAAGCTCAATAGGAAGTCAAAAGAGTTAAGTATGGTAAAAAAAAAAAAAAAAAAATTGGGGGGCGCCTGGGTGGCTCAGTTGGTTAAGCGACTGCCTTCGGCTCAGGTCATGATCCTGGAGTCCCGGGATCGAGTCCCACATCAAGCTTCCTGCTCAGCAGGGAGTCTGCTTCTCCCTCTGACCCTCTTCCCTCTCATGCTCTCTATCTCTCATTCTCTCTCTCAAATAAATAAATAAAATCTTTAAAAAAAAAAAATTTTTTTTTTAATGGTTCATTTGAACTTAAAAAAAAAACGTTTTGGGGGGTACCTGAGTGGCTCAGTCAGTTAAGCATCTGACTTAGGTTCAGGTCGTGATCTGGGATTGGGCTCTGTGCTCAGTGGGGAGCCTGCTTCTCCCTCTCCCTCTGCCCCTCTGCTCATGCTCTCTCTCTCTCTCTCTCTCTCAAATAAATAAATTCTTAAAAAAAACATTTTGGGTATTTGGAAATAAGACCTAATTAACAAAAAAAAAATTTAATTCAAGAAGAATGCTAGGGCTTCAGAAACTGGCTTACTATAGCAGACTGAACTTGTATATGCTTCAGAGTGCCCTGGGTGTGTCTTGTTATTTTTGTTTAGTAGATGTCGAAGATATTTAGTAACTGAAGGAACTCCTCAGCCCTCCCTCTTCTGCGAGTCATGATAGCCCTGCCATTGTCATCATCACTCTCACACCTTGAGAGTGCTGTTGGGGTTTTTATGTTCTGCTTAATTTTTCAGCCTTGTCTTTGGGCATGATAGTCACCTTCCGATTCATCACCACCCTCCTGGTTCACATTTTCATCGCACTGATTATTTCGGGACTGTTGTGTAAGTATTTCTACTTGATGGATTTCTTTTTGATTAAATGAAAAGGCTTTCCATTAAGTATGGAACTTAAAAGTTGGCATTCTTGAGCTAAATAGGCTTCAGAGAGTCTCTCATCCAACCCCAGCGTTTCACATATGAGAAAACTCAGAGCCAGAGAGGACAAAGGGACTTGCTTGTGTCCTGCAGATACTCGCCAAGTTGATGCCAGTCTGTGGTCTCTGCCGCTCTCTCCAGCGGTCCTTGTGGCCCTACCATTAACAGACTCCAAGGCTTGTTGGAAAGAATGCCTGCTTTTAAAGAGTGTCTTCTGACCTTTCACATCAGCTGTTGACATGTAGGTCCCCACAGTCGTCATGCAAAGGCTCCCACCAGTCTAAAACAATTCAGGCCCTGAGCTGGGGCAGGGTCCCAAAGACCCTCCCTGTGCCCACTGGTTCCCCTTTTGTCGCCGGAATGTGGGTCCATCCAGAGGTTGTCAGGAAAGGGGGTCTGAGAGAGAGGGGCACACAGGAAGTTCAAGGTAACAGCTATTTACCAGCTGTCATGGGATACTTGAACTTTTAATAATTGGTGTGACTGTAGCATTTCATGCCCCTGAATAATCAACTCTGCCCTCAGCAACTTAGAGCCCTACGGCTCACAGGTGCACAGCATGCCATGCTGGAGGACGGGCACAGCCCCTTACGATGGACCCTCTCCCGCCTAGGACAAGGGAAGACCAGCGTGACCCTCCTCTAGTCACCGTGGTGGCGGTGTAGGTGCAGGTAGTGCCTAAACGGAGGGCATGTGCAATGTCAGGCTACCCACCCAGGCTCGTGAGTGCCACGTTGACGTCCCGGTTCCCGCAGGGGTCGGCGCCAGTGGAGCTCATCAGGCAGTTCTAGACTTTGGACTTGAACGGTGTTCCCCTCACTGCCCTGCCCGTGCACTTTCCGCCCTGCTCACACCCATACCCAGTCTGCAGGCTGGGCTGACAGGACGCACCTGTGTTCTGGAATCCCCTCCACATGCCTCCCAAAGACAAGCAGCCACTGCGGGCCCGGACGGTCCTTGGGGAGGCTACCCTGGCCCTGGCCAGCTCCTCTGGAGGGTCGGGTGGTACCCATAAAGCCCCAGGCCCTTGGGACCCACTGCCAGAGCCAGGCCACCCCATGTGTGGTCCACATGCTGCCGGGGGGGGGGGAGTTACCCATGCATCTGTGCTGAGTTGCCCCGGTGTTTTGCTTTCTAGTTGTCTGTGGTGTCTTATGGTGGCTGTATTACGACTATACCCATGACCTCAGCATAGAATTGGACACAGAAAGGGAAAATTTGAAGTGTTTGCTGGGGTTTGCTATTCTATCTACAGTAATCACGGTAAGAAACACCCTTCCAGCAGGAAGTCAAGTAGCCTGCTAAAACTCTGAAATCCAAATAATTGGATTTTAACTAAAAACAACTAGAATTTGGGTGGTTTTTTTTTTTAACCTCAGAGTATGCATACATAATAGTATGGTGAATGTATACATGTTTAGTGCGTTCTCTTTTTTATTTGCAATACCCACACAGGAATAAATCAAAACCTTCAAAAAAAAAAAAAAACAGGAAAAAGGCTTTACCTTCTTCCCAGGTCATTTCTGCCAGCTCTCAGAGGTTGATTTGTTACTTGTGCTGATTCATTTTCCTTGAACACAGTAGAACCATTTTTACCCCCAAGTGGCAGTAAGGTGGACGCTGTAAGGGGAGGGGGGGTGCAGACTTACAACAGTTCCTGTTTCCTGTTTGTGAGGAGCCTCCCCCTTCAGGCCAATGGATGCTCTACCCCCTCCAGGGTGTGGCAGCTCCCACTGCCCTTGAACACAGAAAGCCCTTTATTTCCAAACCCACGGGCCACTGGGTGATTTTGGTGTTCAGAGAACCCACTGCCTCCCCCGTGAACACCCTAGTTGAAAACCGGCTAACAGAATGTTGAGGCAGCAGATACGGTTGTTGTGGGAGGAGGGAGCTTGGAAAATCATTCAGGTCACTCCGCAGGGGGCATTGAAAGCCTTAGAATCACAAGGCCCTGGACGGGGGCTGGGGCTGATTTTTAGGCCACCATGGCCACCCTTGCTGGCGTGTTGCTTACTCACCGTTTGTGGATGGGCAACAGCTAGGGTTCCCACAAGCCCTTTAATTCTGCCGGCGAGCACAGACTCTCTCACCAGTTCTCGGCTAAGGAGAGCCTTCCATTCCCATATTTAGTAGTCTCCACATTTTCTCCTTTCTAGTGAGGTTTCAGGTGTGTGTTCGTCACATGGAGTGCATCTCAGGGAGCAAGTGTATGACTAAGGAAAGTTCCTGATCTGTCCTGCCCTGGGCGGGGGGACCAGGCCTGCAGCTGCTCCAGGGCCTGTAAGGAGGCTGAAGGAGAAGGGACCCCCTGCATCCCAGGTGGAGGCTGGAGCGGTTGGGCAGCGGGGAGGGAGTGGGGGGACAGCCCGCCTTCTCCCTGAGCCCTCCATAGGGCTTCCTTTGCGTCTACACACTGAACCTTTAATGGCCACCCAGACTCCAGAGTCAGGGGTGACTTCTCTTCCCTGAGCATAAGGTTAGTGTGAGGGAAGGCTGTGAAGGCAGAGAGGCTGTTCTCACCTGTGTCTGTGAGGACTGTTCAGGGGCTGTGTCAGAGGGTAGCAGCAAACCAGCTCCCACACCATTCACATGGTACTTTTGTCACCACTACTTACTAAGTTCCTGCCAAGTGCTGGATGCTGGGTGGGCATGTCCTCACAAGAGCCCTAGATTGTTTGTTGCCATTTACTGAGCCCCTCTCGTGCACTGGGTCCTGTACTAGGCAACAGAGCTAGCAAGACAAAACATACCAATAGCACCTGCCCCCTGATTAGATGAATTACAAAGCAAGCAACTGCATGACGTGGTACACGGGGAAAGACTCTAGCCTTTGTGGTCTCGGGTGGGCATTCAGACCCATGGCCTACTGCCCACCATGTGACCTCACAGAATGACTTGGCCTTAGGCCTGGGTCTCCTCATCTGTCGAATGGGAGTATTCCTGAAGGTTCCATGGACTTCCCTGCTCCCTGGGGAGCATCCGCCACAGAAGCTCGGCCACCCCTAATGCCCCTGACTGGAGACCTGGGGCTGAGAAAGTGGGGCTGGCTACAGGGCAAGAGGATAAGCCCGCCTAAGAAAACCACTGCCCACTTGCTGCTGACCCCCGCCAGCCCAGCTTGGCTCCCACAGGACCCCGGCACAAGGTGAGGGAAGGAAGACAGGGAAAGTCACATCATGTCGTCTAGTCAGGCACCACTCCCTGTCCCCAGTGCTGGCATCCAAGGGGGAAGAGGAGTTAGCAGCTGCCCCTCTTCTCCTTCCCTCCGCCTTTCTTACCCCCGCTTGTCCAGAGAAGCAAAAGAGAGGGGCAAACCAACCTTAGCAAGAGGGGAATAGAAGCAGAAGAAAGGTCCCCTCCTTCAACCCTCATCCCTTCTCGCTTGCTCACGTGGGAGCCCCATCCCGCTCGTCTCCCCCCAACTCCCTCCCTACATGTTGGAGCCCAGCAGATACCGAGAGTCTCATCTAGTGAAGATTTCCCAGGGAAATCCTTGTCTGCTACCAGGACACTTGGGTGGATATATGGTCCTGTCTCCTGAGTTCCCAGAAGCTAACTTACAAATCAACTTGAAAACATTGTTCTGGGAAGATCGGGGCTGCGGATGAACATTATCTAAATAGTTTCACAAAAAGCGCTAGCTGTGATGAAGCAAAGAGGGTGACTGGCATTAAACACACACCTCAGGCCATCAGCTTAGGAGCACAGGCTGAAGGGCAGCTCCTGGAGGCTTAGAGCCCAGAAGGATGAAGTCAAGACATGACCCCCATGGTGCATCAGCCCTGCTGCCCAGCCGAGCCTCGCTCGCACCCCCATTAGGTAATGCTGATCCCTGCTGAGACTGGGGAGAGGGTCAGGTTAGAGTTGACTCTACGCTTCTAATGAACATCCTTGCAGTGTACTTAAGAATGTGAGAGGAGTATTGTATGCGTGTATATAACTTGTAAAACACACATGCATTGAAATATGCATATGTTAGCTTTCCACTCGGGAGCTAGAAGCCAAGTGTATTTACCTAAAGATCATATAATTTTGCTTCATGAAAATTTTAAGTAAAACCAAAAAAAGGTCCCTCTTTCTTACTGATAGTAGAAAATGCAGAGTTGGAAATTCCTACTTAGCCTTTACAACTTAGGGGTGTCTGGGCACGTTCAGCTGGGGCAGGAGGCTCTGCTCCCAGTTTTGGGAGCAGTTTTAGTTTATCCCACCTTCCTTCGACTTTCCTCCACTAGACTGTGAGATCCTTTGGGCCAGGAATGCCTCAGGCCAGCTGGAAGAGAAAGGGTATCTTAGGGTAAAGGAATAACACATGTGGAGTCACATGGACACAAGAAAGACCTGTAGGAGGTTCTCTTGGCAGAAGCCTGAGAGACAGGTATGGGGAGGGGCTATGCCAGGAAGGTCCTGATCTGGGATCATGATGACTTTGATCTTTATCCAGGAGCACAGGTAACTGTTGAAGGATTTTGAGCTGGGAAATGACATCATTGACACTACCCTTTACAGAGAGCCCTTTAGCTGTGGGTTAGAGGAGGGAAAGGGGTAGTAGGGGTTGGGAGCCAAGGGGATTAAAAACAGAGGCTAGGGGCGCCTGGGGGGCTCAGTCGTTAAGCGTCTGCCTTCGGCTCGGGTCATGATCCCAGGGTCCTGGGATCGAGCCCCGCATCGGGCTCCCTGCTCGGCGGGAAGCCTGCTTCTCCCTCTCCCACTCCCCCTGCTTGTGTTCTCTCTCTCGCTGTGTCTCTCTCTGTCAAATAAATAAATAAGATCTTTTAAAAAAATTAAATTACATTTAAAAAAAGGAGGCTAATGAGGACGTTATTAGGGTACAGATGGTTGAGGATAGGACTTGAGCTGTGATCAGTTGTGGGACTAGAGACTGAGAGATCTAGGAAATTGAACGCAGGTGACTGGGATTGTGCCGTGCCCCAGGGATGGCTCTGCTCTTGGGGGGCTTAACCTAATGGGAAATTCAGCTAAGTAAACATTTGCAGTAGAAAATGCTGAGTGCTACAGTTGGTAAGTTTGGGATAATATGGAAATACACAAGAGAGAAACCTTACTTACTCTTGAAGAGTCCAGAAAAATTAGGGCCTCTGGAGTAGGGAATCTAGAAGAAAGAGGAGATTTTTATGTGAAGATAATGAATTTGGCTCACGACGAGTTGAATTTGAGACACAGTAGGATGTTCATGGCCTGGCCAGGAACTGATGTGCTTACTCATCTAGCGCCTAGAGAAGGGTGAGGCTGGAGGTGGTGGTGGTGGTGGTGGTTGTTGTTCTTCTTCCTCTTTCTTCTTCTTTTAAATTTATTTGAGAGAGAGAGCATGAGCCGGGGGACAGGGGACAAAAGAAAAGGGAGAAGCAGACTCCCCACTGAGCGGGGAGCCCGATGCAGGGCTTGCTCCCAGGACCCTGAGACCATGACCTGAGCCAAAGGCAGATGCTTAACCAACTGAGCCACTGAGGCGCCCCAAATCTGGAGGTTCTTATTTGAAATGAAGGTTATCAGCCTCTAGGAAGGATGCTAAGACCACAAAGGAATAGGAGATAGCCCCAAAAGACTCTGAGAAACAACTGAAGAAGTAGGAGGGGAGCCAAAAGAAAGAGTGATCACATAAGTGAAGGGAGGAGAAAGTTTTAAGAAAAGAGGAATGGACAGAGATTCACATGCCATGCTCTAGGTTAGGGTATGAAAGTGTGGATGGCAGATGGAGACTAGTCTGTGCAGAAGCTCGCCTGTGAAGGGTGTGAGGAGATGGCAGGTGGCTGGACTGGGTTGTGGGGGTGAATTTCATATGAAATTCACATGGAGGGAGGCCAAAACCAGTAGAGAGGAAGGCACAGAAGGTTGCTTTGAGGCATAATCACTGTCCTTTCCCCATATAGTTGCATTCCTTGCCTTTTGCAATCCTTGAGCATTCTCTGAGTCTTTTGGGTATCGTGGGGAGGAGGTAAGGGACAGAAGATGATTCTCTGACCCTAGAGGACCTTATTTGCATTTTCTCTTGCTCTCTGACCAGACCTCAAGTTCCCTTAGGGCAGGGACTGTGTCTTGTTCACTCTTCCAGCTGCAGGGGGTCTCTCATAGGGACCAGCACATAGTAGATGCTCAATTAGGATTTGAACATTTTTCTGTTCAATTATAATAAAAATAGTAGATAAAGAACTGTTTGCTGAGATATCAGTGAAATATGAAGGTTTGCTTCTCAGTTCTTCATTATTTTGAGTCATTTATTCTAACCCCTTTCTCACCAGGCAGTTCTGCTCGGCTTGATTTTTGTCCTCAGAAAGAGAATAAAATTGACAGTTGAGCTTTTTCAAGTCATAAATAAGGCCATCAGCAACTCTCCTTTCCTGCTGTTGCAACCACTGTGGACTTTCGCCATCCTCATTTTCTTCTGGGTCTTCTGGGTAGCTGTGCTGCTGAGCCTGGGGACTGCAGGTAAGAGCTTTGGGTTCCATCACCTCGGAGGTGGGCACGGAAGACCCTGCCATTTTGGAGCCATTGACCTGTTTTCTTGGGGACCAAACCTCCCCTGCAACGAGGCGTGTCCGATGACAGTGGTGGTGATGGTGCCGGGGCCCTGTCATGGAGGAAAGCAGGAAAACCCTTTTCCTCTTTCACACTGGCATTAAAGAAACTGGGTTTGTTCCAAGAGAGAATAAATTCGGTAAGGACTGAAAGAGCCTTCAGAAAAACTACAATATGAACAAAAGCCTCTAGAAAGAAGGATTCAGATTTTATCCACGGCAATTTGCCAACTCCTCTCACATCAATGATCAAGAAGATCGCCCTATTAAAAGTCTGTCGCGCCCAGCAGAGCCAGCTTACGTTTAAAGCAAGTGCACACGGTCACATTGCCTAGGTCCTGAGAAGACAGTCCTGAATCCCACCCCCAACCCCGTCCTGTTATCTCTATACAGTGGTTTTCCACCAGAGGGATTGCTCAGAATCAGCTTTATTAAAGTACAGTTGCCTGGGCCTCCTCCTCAGAGATCATGATTCACTTGGTTTGAGGTAGGGCAAACGATATTTTTTTGAAGCCCCGTAACAGGGCAAAGAAGTGCTATTTAAAGTACTGTCTGAAATGAGGTAGTGAGCTTATGTCAGAATATATACCACTCCTTTATCGAGAAATCTCGCAATGGGGGGAAAAATGTCAGCAGAAGGAAACACTAGGCTTCGTTAAGCAGTCGGTCTGTGTTCTGGTGCAAGCTCTTCATCTCGCTGTGGGCTAGTAACAAGCAGTGTGGGGATGGGCAGCTAGTCTGTAAGCATACTTTGAGTGGTCCAGTTTTAGATCTTCTCTAACTCCTCTGTTCGATTTGGTTAAGGCCCACATTCACACTCTGACAGGAGTACCCAAGAGTAAGTTGCTTTCTGAGACCAACCATCACCAGACAGATAAGAACCACAGCAGATGTCAAATCTACAAGCCTAATGTGATTCCTTACTGTTTTATCAAGTTTATGTTGTCCCCGATCAGCTCCAGTCAAATCTGTAAGAACAACTGCTGTGTAGTAGATTCTTAGTCAACTGGGGTCTCTTCCCTCTCCTCTGGAGTCAGCTGACCCATTGGAGCTTGCTTCAAGATGGTCAGCAGGCTCCCTGGGAGACACAGCCCCTACCTCTAGCTCCAGAGATGCTGTAGGAGCACTCTCTTCTGTTGTTCTCTGGAAGCTCTCTGCAGACCTGCAGTGAACTCAGAATAATTATCCAGGAAGAACCAGGACCGTAATCAGTCAGGATGAGGTGTGTCTGGGAGCCACAGAACACTCAAACAACCAGGGGCTTAAATACGATATGAGGTAATTTTCTCTCTTACGGAAATGAAGTCCACAAGGAGGAGCCCCAGGCCAGCATGGTCCTCTGGAGGTGGAAGGCCCAGGTGTGTGTGTGTGTTCGACTTCATCTCAGCGCCCTGTGGCTGACCTCCTCTCCCACTTCCATCTGGTAGCAGAAATGGACACTTGGGCTCCAACCATATCCTACACCAGCCATTAGGAAGGTGGCAGGGAGGAAGGTGAGCATGCCCTCCCTCCCTCAGCCCTCCTAGAAGTCATGACAACATGTCCGCCTCCACCCCACCGGCCAGATCCTCGTGACACAGCAACACCTGCCTGCGAGGGAGGCCAGGAGACACGGTTTCATTTGGGGCAGACACACACAGTTAAAAAATTAGAGGTTCTATTGCCAAGAAAAAGCAAAGGACAGATATTGTGGGACAGTTGGAAGTCTCAGCTAGGGCAACACCGAACAGCTCTATTTTGTTCGCTTGAAGCAGTCTCGGTCCCGGTCAGAGAGGAGGGCAGTGGCCTTGGTACGTGCAGGGACACAAGCATCTGTTGAACAGTGCCGAAATTCCAGGCTGTGTACTGGGAACTTTCTTACGTTCCCTGCGTTAAGCATGGCAGTCCCCCTTGTCCTGTGTTTGTCATGCTCAAGTTCCAAGCACGAGAATTGAGGTTCTGAGTACGCGCTCCGTGGAAGGTCACCCCGCTAGGAAGGGCGGGGCTCTCTCTGGCTCCAGAGCCCTAGGATGGAAGCCGTGTGATCTCTGCCCTCTCGCATCTCCCGTGTCTGGGAGACAGAGTGGCCCTCCTCAGTTGTCTGTCAAGTCAGAGCAGTACTCGGCTGCAGCAGCCGGCTGGCAGATGTGGCCTGGGCCCCCAATGCTGTGTTTGGGGTCTGTGGTTACAGGACAACAGGGCAGAGCCAGAGGTCGAAGCCAGGGTGGGCTGGGAGTGGAGGGTGGCAGAGGGCGGTGGGGCATGGCGCACAGGGTGGTGGACGGTGGTATTGGAACCGTTGCCCTAAAGAATCACCAGAGAAAGGGTGAGGTCCTGGGAATGTGACTCAGGACCAGGGAAGGACCTTCCTTCCTCCTCCAGCCTCTGGGGCATAGCCGTCCTTCTGGGCCGTGAGTCTGGCTGAAGGAAATCGTCCCTGTGCTTAACCCATGCTACCTTGGAGCGAGGCACGTTCATTCATTCTTGCCTTTTACTTCACAACTGTTAGGGGAGCCTTGTGGGGCTGAGGCCCTGGGCTAGGCACTGGGGAGGAGTGGCATCCTCTCCTCAGAGCACTTAGAGTCGGGCGAAGGTTGATGAACGTCATGGTAGGAGAAATTTGGGGAGCTCCTAGAGCGCCAGAACAAGGCTCTACCCTACTTTGTGAGTCAGGGAAGGTTTCTCAGAGGATGGGCTAGAAATTGCCAGATCAGAAAATACAGAAAGAAGCTAAGGGGGATTCACGAGGGGTCACAGGCAAACACCAGGAGAGGATCTGGTCACAGACGACAAGGAGAGAGCCAGTCCTGGGAGTTAGGGGTGCAGATGGAGAGGAACACGTCCCAGGGCTGCCTCGGGGGTGAGCGGCCAGCACGCTGTCCCTTCAGTTCCCCGTTAGGTCCGACTTGGGCCCGGGGCTTTGGGGGCATGAAATAGGGTCTGCCCCAGGGCTGTGAGCAGGAGAGGCAGGAAGACAAGGAGGGGATTCCGGGGGCCGAAGGTAGCACGGCATTCTGGAACCACCTCGGAGGTCAGGTACTAAAGTGTGGCCGTTCCCTGTCAGTGGACGGAGGAAACCAGGCCCGAGGGTGAGGGGCAGAGGGGCAGGGAAGAAAGCCAGGTGCCTGGGACCCGACGTAGACATGCGTGCTGGCAGACCTTCCGCTTTGCAGGAGAGGAGGTATGGCAGGGAGCTCTGGCCTTCCCTGCTGCTGGGCTCAGGCACCCTAAAAACCAGACTGGCTGTCCCCTCCAGGCACCTGACTCTCCTTCCCATTCACCTGTGGGCTGACCCAGGTGCACAGAGCTCCTTTGTTTTCAAAGGCCTTTTCACTCCATGCCAGAGCCACCACTCTGGGTCTGGGCAGGTCGCTTCTAGGCTTCATGTCATTTTGACCTTCGGGAGACGCCCCCCGTGCACTTGTGGGAGACTGAGAGCTGCCGTCAGCGCTTGTGAAAAGAAGCCAGGTGATGTGGGTGGTCAGAGAGGCCGGCACAGTGCCTGTCTCCCTTCGCGTCCCCTCAGGCGGTTACAGAGCCCTCCAGTTGTCCAGTCTGTATCCCATGTGGCCAGATGAGGGGGTGTCCTCAGTGGGTAATAGTTGGGAGCTTTCTATCACGTCAGGTGGTTGAAGGAACTAATATTTTGGGGCGCCTGGGTGGCTCAGTCAGTTAAGCGTCTGCCTTCAGCTCAGGTCATGATCCCAGGGTGCTGGGATCAAGCCCCGCATCGGGCTCCTTGCTCAGCGGGGGAGCTTGCTTCTCCTTCTCCCTGCCGCTCCCCCTGCTTGTGCTCTCTCTCTGTCAAAAGAATAAATGAAATCTTTTAAAAAGACCTAATATTTTAATGTGTAAAAAAAGAAAAAGAAATACAGAAAAAAGTGACCTTGGGCTGTTTTTGCCCAGATGAGCTATTTCTCTAGAGGCTATCAATCAGTCTCTGAGCTAGTCGACAAATTCTGGCTTGTTTGGGGATCGTTTCAGCAGACCATATCAAGGCCCTCCAGCAGTGACGTTGATTCGCCCATTAGGAACTGTCTGCTACCAGCCATGTGACAGTGACTACTAAAATCCAGTGGGGAAAAGCGAAACTGTCGTAACCTTGGGAACCCAGCAGGTCCAGCTGGCAGGTTAGAGGGAGCCCGCGTGGGCTCAGTACACCCAGTTGTCATTAAGGTGGCCTGGAAACCCCAGAGTCAACAATGGAGGAAGCCCATCTTGGGGGGCACTTCCCCTCCACATGTGCTACAGTTAGAAGGGTCATCACAGGGATGCATTCAGCGTGCTTGGGACGGCCAAGGGCCCTGCTTGGAAAGGAGGCAGCAGGGTCAGACAGGTTTCCCGTCAAGGGACCCAGGATCCCGGCTGGCTCTGGCCTTCCTTGTACGTTAATCCTCTGTGCTTCCCTTTTCTCATTTTGGCAATGGAAGAATGATGCTTTCACAGGGCTGCGAGGAGGCTAAGATGGGGCCGGAGCTTTGCTTTGCAAATAAGGGACCATATATGTTCCTTATGTTGGGAATTACTGTTGGCTAAAGAGTATCTGGTCCCAGCTTCAGCTTTACTCTCTGCCCTGCCTGGCATATTTGAGAATATAGTTTACAAGAAAATTTTCTTTTTTAAGTTCTGAGAGATCTAGAAGATAAAGCCTCCTAGCAGCCCAGACCTGTCCTGGGAAGAGGTAGAGGGAAACTGCACAAGAGAGATTTGAAACAGCTCCTGCTTTTTTGAAGTTTATGGTCCCTTTGGGATGGTGCAAAAGAAAACAGTCTCCAGGAACATTCGTGCCTTTGCACCTGCCATGAGCTTCATCTGGAAATGCTTCCTCTTCGCAGCCTGCACCCCAATTCCCGACCCCAAACTGCTTGGAAAGCTAGTCATTCTCCAAGAATGGTTTTGAGCATTGTAGTTCTTAGAAAATCTCTAAGTTCC